GCTGGAATTCTTGGGTTGTTCCTCTGTAATCTCCTTGGACGATTGTCTCCAAGCGTTGCAACGAGCTGCACAGGACAGGAGCAGCAACGAGGTTAGCACGATGTGGGTAGCCTGTTTCTTCTGTGCTCATTTGGTTGGTTACCTTCCTCTACATGGTACAAACTGCACCAGCGCATATCAGATTCCCCTGAGTCAGGTGGGAATGGGGCCAAGACCCGTATTGTTCAGTTTGGAGCTGATGAATTTGGAACCAATAGAGAGGCCCTTATTCTGAAGGATCACCTTGCACTTTGTCCCAAGTCCCTGGCGGACCCCTCCAAACTTTGGTCGCTCCTAACTTTGTGGGCGTTCTTCGCCAAAGTCAGAAGGCCAGGCCAGGTGCCTATTTTCTATTAGCTCTATGAAGCAGAAAACAATACTGCGAACATCCGCGAACATATTCTAGGTCACTTTAGTTTATGACTGTACTTGCTCGAATTGGTCGCTGGACCACGCAAAAAAAATACCGCGAATGGGGATCGAACAAAGTGGGGAGCTGGTGATAGAAACTGGTTCAACATCATTGGAAGGACAGTCCTTTGCTCGAAGAGTGTCTTCGAAGCACACCAAGCAAGCACTTTTGCTCACAGGACAAAGACATCTACTAAATTAAGCTACTAAATATTTGGATATCTACCAACAACATTATAACAACCACCTCTTTGGCGGCTCTATCCGTGTCAGTTCAACAGCCACGTGTTGAGACTCAGAAGAACAGCCACTTCCTCACATCTTCAGTGTCCTCTTCGCCAGGAGCCCGGTCTTCGCCAGCGCATTGGGTGTAGCTCCTTGCAGCAGCGAGGAGTTCCTGATGGGAATGTGCAGCGAGTTGGCACGGTGAATGGTGTGCACAGCGTGCACCAAGATGATGCTTTTGGATCCCCAAGTTTGGTCCGAATCTATTATTTGCAGAAGATATCGGATGTCGCAACATCGAGAGTGTGCTGATATTTTAGGTATCCTGAAAACCATTGAAAACCTGTCTATGATATAGATTTTGATATGATGGCGGATGATTGAAGGAATCAGGCTGAATGAGAACATACTGAACAGATGCTATCAGCCTATATCGCACATTGGTTTCAAGACGAACAATAAGAACCAAGAAGACGACTTCGCAGCATGGCAACTCCCAAATCCTCTTGGAGAGGGGTTGGGTAGTACGACCTCCTCGGGCCCGTGCCAGGAGAGCTTCTTACTGATCAAGGGCTGGAGGTCCGAAATGTGTGTGTGTGTGTGTGTTTTTTTTGCGGGGAGGGTAGGCCGCTAGTAGGGGGAGTCGCTGGTAGAAGAGGTAGCTAGTACCTTACTTAAGCTACTAGATACTGGACGCAGGATAGCTCACGCTTCCTTGAAGAAGCGCTCGCACTCCTGGTTTTGAGGGAAACTTAAGGTTCGCACTATTCATTTGGTCCGAAATGATTGTCCGCAAAGAGTGAAGCACCAACCTGGACCCCCCAAGCCCGGCCACGTTTATCTGCGTTTCCCAAAGCAGAAACTCTTTTTGAGCGTCCTTCATTGGACCCTTCTACAAGCTACAAATATGCCCCTGGATGGTCAGGGCTTTGAGACAAGTAGGAAGCCGTGAATTTCAGCTCGAGGAAATGCCTCCTGGATTCTTTTCTTTGATTGATCAACTCACTGTGATTGTGAAGACTGACCCATAACTCATCATAACTCGAAGAGGAAGGTCTGAAGGTTCCCCAGATGGGGCGCTGCTGTTGATCAAGGGCCGGCGAGATGGTGACACCACGAAGCAGGTAAACGCGTAAATGGTCAACCCCAACTACTGCTATTACAGTGCCACCAGCATGTAATTAATGATTATCATGCCTGTGATGGAGTTGATATGAGTTGATGATTGAACGGCAGCAGCTGCAGCATGGTAAAGGATTTCCCCAGTCGCATGATCGAGCCTGACAGGTGATGTTGAGCTTGTACCGCTTGCTCGAGCTGGCACTTGCAGAGATTGGTGACGGGGAAACCTGGACTTGGAAGGCGCGATTGTCTCGGGTAGTAGTAGTCGAGGGAACTCAGGCAGATGCATTTCTCACTCATTCATACTTAGCATGTGCTGCATGCCGCATGCCTAGCAAAGAACACAATATGGAAAAGAGTTCTCAGTTCGCACCCACCCTGGCCGTACCTGCGAGTCGTGCCAGGAGCGTCTTGAAGGCCGCTTTCCCAGTGGTGCCAGTGCGCTGGCAGCCTCCTGCAGCCAACATGGACAGCTTCCAGTGCTCAACTGGGAGGGCCGTTTGGTATCAGGCCATTGGGTTTGCACTAGCGAACAAGTGGGATCAGGCTGACATGGACGTTCTCTCTGGTTAATTGACCAGTTCTGAAAACAGAGATGTTACAAGCTCTTAGCAACTTTTCTTTCGACATCTTGCCAATGGCCAGTCAGGTGATGCAGATGTGTGGGCTTGCCGATCTTCATGGTTTTTGGCTCCTCGTCAGGGTGGAGTGGACCACACTTGTGGTCCATCCTTAAAGAAGAGGATCCAATAGCAGCTACTAGGGGCTCCTGGCCTTACTACTAGGAGCAATGTTCGCTACTAGTAACAAGAAGAGGATCCAATACAGAAACACCACTGTTCGAGGTCCACAACTGGACCGGACTTGGACCGTTCCTCTGACCTCCAGGATACGGTTCTGGACGCATCGCCCTACCTCTTCATTCACCGAGAGATAGCTGAGCACTGCCCACGCCTAGTGGCTGCCGCGGGCTGGCTGTACCTGGAAGGGAGAACCACCATCCTGTGGCAACAGTCCAACAACAATCCCGAGAAGGCCTGGTGACCACAGTTGGCCTGGTTTGGCACCACTGTTTTTCCTTTGACAGCATTGCCAAAGCATGGAGTCACCAGCCTGGGTAACAAATGAACTTGGAACTCGTCAGTTGAGGGCCACTACCCCCAAATTGATGGTTTTTCAGTACACCACACATGCATCCGATGCAGTGTGAAAGAGAGTGGCAGAAGCACACGGTTGTTTCAATCCCTTGCAAGAGCCTTCTTCTGCGAGTGCTCAAACATCTGGGCAAACTGGAATCAACATAGGTTTTTGGGGATCAGCCTGAAGAGCCCGGTCCCACAGATTGGATGTTTGACAACTCCCTGTGATTGCTATGAGATTTGATGCGTTTTTTTCTGGTTTTTGGCCTTCGATCGGAAAGACACGCTTGAGAAGGACGAGAGATTGGAGCGTTGGGACGAGAAGGAACCATCAGACATAGATGCATGACACAGTGTGACATCATGGCTCTTTCATGATCATGTGACATCAGGTGAGAGTTGTGTTCCCCTCCTGACAGTGTAAGTACGAGCCATAAATCTTAAAGCAAACCAGTCCTGTAGAACCAGCTCGGACGTTCAGCTTCTTCAGGAGCTGCTCGAGGCTTCAGAGGCATTTGGAACCGTTCTTAAAAGGCCTGTGCAAGTGGTGTCATGCAATTGGAGTCTTATCTGATCAAGTCTTTTTCTATGATCGTTGATCGATGTTGTCGCAGCAAGGGTTGAGGATGACTTTGACCAATGACCAATGATTCTCAAGGCACAATTCCACATACATAGGTAGCGGCCATAAGGGGTGGCTTTGCAGCGATTCTGTTACGACAGGGAGAGCTTTCGAGATATTGATATGCAGTGAAGCTTGGTGAAGGCTATGGCTATTTCGATATTGTTTGTCGCACATCCCGAAAACTCCTGACCCGCCCAAGCAACACTTGACATCATGTTTTCTTTATGTCGCCTCGCTTGACCCTGTGAGGATTGCTTTGGAGGTGATTTTCAGCCCTCGCGCAGAACCCAAAGAGGGTGAATGGTTCTCTGAAATTCCTGGCCTCATCAAAGAGCGAATCCGAGCTCAGCCATCTTTTGCGATCCTTGGGCAAGGTGCCAGTGACAAGGGTTAGAGATGATGCCATGACGCAGGGTTTGTTGGCGATTACGGACAATAACTGGTTTATACAAGCCAGAACACTTTGCCAGGGTCAAAGGCAAAGGAAGAGGAATATATTTTGTATACAGTATACTGTATCCACGAATGGAGATCCTGGCTGAGGGTAAGTATTCATGCTCAGTGTCTGACACAGAATCTGTGAACTGCTTTGAGGGAAAATCCCCAATCCCCAAGTAATCCAAGATATGCCTCAGCCACAAATTGAGGTAGAACGAAATGCACTCACCCAAGGAAAATTGAAGAAGCAAAGAAACATAATGAAACATCTCCGCCACGGCATTTCCTCACATGGTGCGAGGTGTTGTGGTCCTGGCTACACATTTCGTCAAAGAAGTGCCTCGGCGACGGGATTGGCTGGATCCGAAAACTCAGGGAGCAAGGCCACATCTAGACTTAGCCAAAAGCAGTGCCCTCTTTTTGGCAAAGTGAGACGTGCACAGGTGTTTACATCCAGAAAGACACTTGATTACGGTGATTACACACATTCCGGAAGATTCTTCCCTATGTCTTTCTGCCTTCTAGATCGATGATGTATCACAAGACAATTCACTCCTACATGATCCAGCCTGGATGACTCGATGATCATCCTGGCAGGCCTCGGTACATTTTAACTCAAAGCAACTATATATATTAATATAGTAATATAATAGTAACTATATATATATATATGTATATTGAAACCAACAAGCGTCGAGTCAAAGCTGGGTACACAGAATCCACTGGTAAAAGGGACAACTTCTTGTGGGGCCGAGCGGTCGTGTTGTCGAGGCCTCCGAGCGGGCTGCTCTGGCGGCCGCCGCGCTGGCGCTGGCCCTGGCATTGCAGGGGCTTTCGAAACGTGAAGCGCAGGCCGTGGGAGGGGTCCGTGGGCCGTGGGATGGTAGGATGATGTGGGATGGCCTCGTCGTACTTCCTTTGGGTTCTTCAACTCTTCAACCCTTCTGAGGTTGGGGAAAGCTCTGGGCTTGATGTCAAGGAATCCAACTTTGTCCTCCTTTGCAGGTCGTGGTGTCAGGCACCTGTCAAGGTGAGACCAAATGAAAGCCTTTGCTGGAACTTTCGAAGTCCAGGACCCCAGTTGGGCCACTCCCGAGCCATGCCAGTCGGCTGACTGCAAGGGTGGGAGTCACTCAAAGTTAGTGCATAGTTGCTTTGACTTACTTCTTTGCGGGCAGGTCAATCATTGGCAGTTCTTGGACGGTAGGGATGAGGGTTGATAGAAGACTATTAATGTTATTATAAGACTGTAATATGTTAGCGTGTATGGTTGGAATGTGGAGCCAAGTTTTTTAGAGCCAAAAGGCAGCTTCAAAGGAAACAAACTGAGGTAACCAACCAACCACAGGTTTCCTTCTCGAGTACTTCTTCTTCGTCTTTGCTCTTGCATTCCTTTGGGCCACTTTGCAGGTGGATCTCCTGGATTTGTTGGATTTAGTAGCCTTACAAGCCCACCTGTTGAAAGACACTTAGACCAGACATGTGCACGCAAGGTGCTGGCACGCAGCACTTGCGAGCCTTGTCTTGAAACAGCTGGATTTGGTTGAAAGAGACTGCACAACTAGAAAATCCAAATGTTGTTCTCAAGGGTTTCTGACCTTTTGCGCAACGTGACTCGTTTTGAACTGTCCAAGTCGTGTGCGGCACTCAGGAGAGCATCCGCTCGTTCACCTCAGAACGCTTTTGGGAAGCCAGTTCTGGTCATCTTAGTCATGCTGGCTACAACCTTCGGCAAGTTCCCGGCACGGAAGTCCTGCTGCCAATTGGGGTGGGCGAAGAAGCCTCTTTGCCTGGACTAATGGGAAGCTTTGGAGGAGTAGAGCAATATGATGATGAGGAGAGCGTGAGCTGCACTCGCTTCCTTCCATTGCTGGACCAGCGCCGTGATCATGAGGTCTTTGGGGAGGTGATTGGCCGAATCCTGTCTGAGAAAGGGATGGTGTCCTCGCGACGCACTACAGCTGCATCGATCGGGGCGGATGTGGCAGCGGTCAAAGAGCAACAACGACGTGTGGGAGAGCGAGCTGAGCATTTCTACAGCCGCTCAGCTGTTGTTGGTGAAGGTTGGGCCCATTTTCATGAGTCAAGCAGACTGCTTGAGAAATGAAGACCCGGAGCACTTCCAGAGCCAGGTTAGTGTGCTGGCACCCAGCCGAGGTTGCTTCCTGGAGCGGGTCTTTGGGGATGCTTACAAGCCCACCCGTGACTGGGTCTCATCGGCAAGGCCTATGGGAGAGGGAGATCAGGAGCACTGAGTATGATTATTCATTCATATTTCATATTCATTCATTCTCAAGTACTACTATCATCTACTATCAGTCTTTAACCTAATTAGAGAGCCTGGCCGGACCATCTCAGACCCTTGGCTTTTCAGGTCGCGCGTCTATCCTGGGTCCCGCAGCATCGACGACTCGGCTGGCTTCGACTTTGTGATCACCGACACCGCCCAGCGGATCGTGCCCAGCCAGGGCAAGCGCTCGGTGAGGCGAGAATTCCGCTTGGTGTTCGGATGTGTTTGGGTGGCCACGGATTGTAGGACAGCTGGGTACCCACAAGGTACCTAGTAAGGTACCTTTATCTATAGCTTTGTGATCCTTTATGTTGTCATCCTCAGAAAGTATTTTGAGTGTGTGGTTTGTAATGGTTTGCAGCTATGTGGTTTGCGGATATTTTGGCATGAGGTTGTGCCCGCTCAACTAATGCTTCTTGCAGCATACACTCACGGTTTATACTCTTGGGATCTCTTGGGCACATAGGTTGACAAGTGTTTATAAGTAATTGTAAGTAGCCCTTACTTAACTTTAACTAGGTAGCCCTTACTGAACTAAGTAGCCCTTACTTGGCTAAGTAGCCCTTACTTAGCCTGGCCTGCTCGAGGGGGCGTCGCCCCCCCCCCCCCCCCCCGAAAATATCTATTGTTATTTTTCGACCACCCGCCTTTCAAATCATATTTTAAATCTATATGTCTTTAATGGTCTTTCTTTGTAGATTCTTTGAAAACAAATGCTACAGTTTTGATGAATATCGTATTTATGGAATAGTTTTTTGGACATTTATCAGAAACACTTGAACATGTGAGTTTTTGAACACATGGAAAATCTGGGGCCTCCAGGCCGTCCGTTTCTGTTTTGGATGGGTGGCTTTCTTGCAGATGGGTTTCCACGGGCCATCGTTGACCTGTAATGTTGTCCAAACATGGTCGGGATCAGGGGACACTAAGCCCTGATGGTCTTGTGCAGGTGCTTTATAGAAGTCAAAGGCTGCACCGGAAGCTTCACTGGTATGTTCTGCTTAAGTGCGAATGAGCAGAGGAAGAGAGACCAGATTGCAGCCTCGAAGAATGATGCAAACGCCTATGTGATTGCAGTTGTCGACAATATGGAAAGCCTGGAGTTGGCTTCTCGCCTGACTTGTGCATGATATACAGTCTACAGTTATAAGTTATAACTCTGTTCTACATCTGCCCACAAAGACATTGAAGACAAAGACAGGCGTTTCCAAACTACTCTTGGGCGTTCAAATAATCAAATCAACGATATGTCCTTTAGAGAATTCTTTGGCATCCTTTTGTATTTTCGGACTTCAAGGGCCTCCCCTTCAGCCCCTTCGTGAACGGATACCCACAGTAGTTCCTTTCCAGTTCAAACAATGCCTCTTCGTTTTGCAGTGTGGAATGTCTCTACACTGGCATACCGCAGTCTCGTCTCATGAAGGGACAAACATTTGGGAAGGGGAAAGACATGCACAAACAATCAATCAATCAATACTGTAGTCATAATATTTGCACATGTGCTGTACTATATGTTTATGCGTTTCTTTTGAACCACATATCTTCGTCCCCCCTCAGTAATCTCTATGTTGGACCCTTGACCCTTGACTCCAAAGGCGTCCATCCGTCATTTCCTCTGGAGTGAAGAGCTCAAGATGATTCAGCTGGAGGCCGAGTCCTTCATCGCGCGGGTGGATCCACACGCCGGAAATGTCGCTGGGGCCAACGGTGGGCGCGGGAAAGGTGATGCGCGACGTGGCGGCGACGCGCGAGACGTCAAGGGTTGAACATCATGCGACACCGTGCAAAGCAATGGGAAGGGCATTAAGAAGCTGTCCAGGTGCGGACGCATCATTGTTGTCTCACTAAAGTACTGATGCCCTTTGATCAATTTTCATGAATTGTCTGAAGTTCCTCCTAAGTATTGAACTTTGACAAACAGCGGCACTTGGTACGTGACAAATAATTTTGGCAGTCCGTGAGCCGCAAGTCCTTTCAAGCCGTATCTCGCAGCCTTAAAATCTTAAAAGACCTGGCAGTTGCTGAATTTGGGTCCAATGTTCTCAACAAGGCTGTTGTCATGGCTGCAGCACGTTAGTTTGACTATATCAGGTATATCGGTTGAAAACTGATGGTCTTCTCAAGACGCCGCTTTTTGTGTGCCACAGAGGCTCAAACCGATCATGAAACATCCACGTCTCCCCCCAAAAAAGACATGTACTCTTTGTGACAGTTTTCCTCACTCAGACATGCTCTGTTCGAAGAGCCACCATTTAGATCAGTGACTTCCGATGGCGTGCAGATAGGCCAAGAAACACAAGCGCACTTCCCTCCACTGGCAGCCTCACTTTTCTTCTTCCGGAAGCAACTCAAATTCCTTGACTTGCAGCTTACCCCAATTCTCATCATCCACAGCTGGGTTCCTAAGATTTCCTAAGTATTCCCTAGTTCCCTCCCATCCCTACCGGGCTTAGGTTGTCTCCAATGCCTTGATGACAGCTGGAGCATCGGCAGAGGATCCTCCGAGCAAAGCAGCGCCGTCACGTCCATGTGGCCGTGGCCGTCCACCAAGCTCGACAGCCACAGTCTCGGTGCCCTCTGGGAAGGTGGGCTTGGTCATTGGCAAAGGGGGTGCTACTGTGAAATGGATCATGAATGAGTCTGGAGCCAAAGTTCAGGTGGCAGATGGTCCACTTGACTTGTTTCAGAACACCTTCTTCCAGGCTTTTTCTATTTGTTCCTTTTGTTGCTTTCAAAGGTCACACGGGTTTGGTGCGCTTTGTAGCTTTGCCTCGAGGTTCAACAGCGGGCTTGTCAAGTCTCAAGATTGAGGGCAGCAAGGAACAGATTGAAGCGGCCAAGCAACTGATCCAGGAGGCGCTCTGCGACACATCGGCACCGGCATCCGATCATGGAACCGTAGTAGTACGTAGCCGTAACCCAACAAGTAAATATGCGTTCTAGGTATGCCATTTACAACATTCTAATTTGAAGGTGAGTAGTGATTCTACTTTGAATCTATATCATCATGATTCTGATTTGCTAATATATAAATATGCAAGTATTGTCCATTGGTCTGGTTACGATCGAACTGACAAGTTTGCAATCCATCCATCGATCTGACAATGGCCCCATCGATGATTTAGTTTGTACTGCATGTAGCGCCAATAACACATATAACCATCAAAAGGAGAAAATGCATCTATCTCTAAATGTCACTGGCATCCGCAAGGTGTTAGAGGTGGGTTCGTTAGGTCCTATAAATTCAGATGCAAGGCAAGTCTGAAGATTCCCAAGGTGGCCTTTTTGAGGAAGAAAAGGATCTTGCATCATCTTTCATCAACGTATTTACCACGGAGATCTCCACACCTTTTTTGCCCACAGAAACTATTTCTTTGATGTGGCCTTGGATGTGGGACTCCTCCTGCAACGTGACTTTTGAACGGTCGATTTTGTCCGGGGCTGGTTTCAATATAGAACTCATGGTTGGTTGATGATATTAATATGAGTCTACATTGAGGATTCCTGCATTGATCACTGGCCTTGCCCCAGCAGCCACAGCTTTTAAGAGATTTTGCGAGGTGGTCTACGGTCAAGCAGATTGGCATGAGTGGCGCAGTGGCCGTGTTTGGAAGGGCAACAGCAACGGAGGTGGTTGGCAGTGACAGAGGCTGTTGTGTGGCTACAGTATCAGCTCATCATCAGGTCCTCAAAGGATGTTGTACTACTCGTACCTGCACTTGAGTATCTTGACATCATGGATTTGTGCATGTCTCCATTTCACCTGGAGGCTTGAGTTGTTGTGAAAACTCACATGTCCTTTCAAGGCATCATACATTTAGCGCAAACATGTTGAGTTTCACAGATTTGCCATTGACGTGTCACCAGTCCATTTTCAATTTTGTTCTTCCATGCTCTTCCTGTTTGATGCCAAGGGACAACATCGTGGCCGAAGCATCTTGTGGCGATGCACCTTTTTTCGCCGCGGAGCTGGCCGGCGAGTGATGGAGAAGATTCCAGTCCAACAATCTCAGTGACGTGTGAGGCCGGTGAGGTGCCATGTCGATGCCTGAAATCATCTTGATGGACAACATGCTCAGCATAGAGAAGGTGTGCAGAGGTCGCATTTGCGTGGGCAGAAAGGAATTGATTGGCGGGCCTGGTTCAGTTTTGGGCCTTCCATTGGACAGAGGCGAAAAATCGTGAGAAAGAATACAACGCCCGCACTGCAGGGTTTGGGTTTGATTCAGCTTTTGATACAGTACTTCAGGCGCTGAATACCACTCACCACGCACATGAACACATGATCCGCACTTTGCAAATCGACCCCCGGTTGACTACAGTATCACTTTTTTCCGCATTCCCGCTGGAATGTTCAAGCTCACCAAGCTTCGAGCTGAAACATACTGAAGCACATTGAAACACTGATTTTCCCACTATGTCCCTTACTTAGTACTCTCCAGTGAAATCGCATGCCTCAAATCTCTGGAAGAACATGAAATCTGACCCATCCACTTAAGCTTGCGACTGAGGCGATGTAGAGACACCCCAGCAGGTGGATTTGGAGTGGATCGACTATGAAAAAAGGCCGGTCGCAGAGAGTTGTACAGATTCTCCATCCCCTGAGGGTATAAACAGCTGAGATTCGCCCCGAAGGCTGAAAGATCGGCTTCGGCCAAAGGCGGTACGACGAAGTGATTCGCCCCCTTGCGCATCACAGGCGGTACGACCTCTACAAGGCCGAGGGGTGCACGGGGCGGTACGGTCAAGAGGAGAAAAGAACATACATTTCGAGACCACAGAAACCTTCAGTTTAGTTTAGTCTTTGTTTTGTTCTAAGGTTTCCCAATATAGGAGGCCGTCATGATAAGGACAGACAACATTGTAGAAGCATCATGTGATTGCCTCACCATGGATGATTCTAATGCAAGTTCTGGCGCGTGAACTGGATGCCTGACCAGTTCTTCTCATCCAATCGCGTTTTGAATGCTTCCTCCTGTACTAGGAGCAAGGACGCTACTAGGAGCTCCTGGCCTTACTACTAGGAGCAAGAAGCTACTAGGGGCTCCTGGTATCGCTACTAGGAGCGTTCGGACGCTACTAGTGAGTCGCCTGCCGTTCTGCTTCCTCGTGTCATCCTGTTGCTCAGATTCACAACTTCGCTCGGGTCCTCCGAGCCAAGACCGAAAACCAGACGGACCCGCGGGTGCCATTCGCTTGGGCGAGCTAGGCTGAAAGGGATGAGCGCAAGAACCTCATATGAGGATATACGAGGTCTGGATAGGTCTGGTCAAAATGTAAAGAGATGGACCCGGGATCTTAAAAGCCGGAAAGCAATCATCAATAAGACACTCAGGAACAAGATGATAGGATAAGAACCGACACTAATGTATACCGTATAATATGTATATTTATCATATCTACATACATGCACTGACATGCACATCTAGAAAACCATAAAAGCAACACAACACACCCACCAAATGCTCATGAACTTTCAGTATAGTACATGTTGACCACGCCTCATGTGTTGAGGAAGTTGCACTGGCCTTTGTTCACTTAGACCGTTTTTTTCCCGAAAATACCTCATCCATGGCAATGCTGTACAACATCCACCGCGATCCCCACCCCTTCGTATAATTTAGATCGGACGAACATCTACAGTATTTCCAAGAGCCTTGCTGTCAACGCAGCAATCTGCAGCCTCGTACCCATCCTGGAGTACTTGCAGCAGTTGAGTACCTCGACAGCCATTCTGCCACCCCCCATCTAGTTCTTGCCTCTTTTCGCCTGTTTGATTGTTTTTGTGTCGGTGTGCTTTATGAGGGAAAGAGACAAAAGTTGAGACGAAAGACATGCGTGAGCATTGGCTGAAGTTCATTGCAATTTCTGTATCCTCCTTCATGGTCAGTCAGCTTATTGGGTCAAGCCTGGAAGATGCACCAAATTGAATTGATCAACCTTCCCACCAAGCTAGCCCTTGACCGAACTTCATCGCCGAAGGACCTTGTGGTCTTCTTTCGGATTCAAGAGCCTCAGTCTGAAGCTCAGGGAGAGGTTTTGGGGTCGGTCGAAGTCGGTCGAAGCGATGAGAAGTTGTTGTACTGGTCGTAAGACGTCGTAAGAGGTCATAAGGTCCTATATACAATATCCAACATTATTGAACAAGCACGAAGTTTACATCCTTTGTATATCCTTTGTATTTGCCAATACAGGTTTGATTCACGGGATTTTCACGTCACCATACGCGCAAGACGAGGCTGGGCAACTACAGTGACTTGTGGCCAAAGATTCGGGATACGTTCCGCCCGGGGACGCTCATTCTTCCAAAGAGGAACACCACGCAGCCTGACGGCGACAGCCTTCCATGGCCATTTCGCTAGAGCCGTTGGCCGTGAGCCGGTGGAGACTGTTGACGAGGCATTTGAGTTGGAGATAGATGGAAGATTCAAAGACAGTCAAGTCAATTCCCCTTTGCTGTTTGACCAAGAGGACAATTCGAGTCCCATTGATAGCTGGAATGGCCATAGTTTTATGATGATTTATCTATTTTTCTGTATAGGCAATTTTGCCTGGTTGCTGCTGCGTGCGGCTGTTACCTCTATACCATGTGCGAAGCTGAAAAGAGAGAGGTTGGTGTGCATATCCTGCAAAAGAACATCGGTTGTCGGACCTGTGAGTCTATGGCATCGTGGACTCACGACATTCGCTGCATTTCATTTCATGCATTTCCAATTGTCGCGATTCTTCGTGGCACATCCGTCGGAAGATGGTGCCAGGAGACAGTTGGTGAGTCCATTGGCTACAAGATCAGTGGAGATAGCAAGGTCCGCCTGGAGGCTCAGTCGTCTTCGTGCTTTCCCAGTGAGGGCTGCGTCTTGAAGTGCGTCAAAAGATGGGGCATCCAAAAGCAGAGTCATGGTGCTAAGGCAAGTTCGCTCATTTGCTTGCAAGTTTGGACAAACCAGTTGGGCGGAGGGTGGAGCCCTACTGACCCGGAAACCGCTGCAGGGCTGAGCTAAGGTCCTGGCCGAACCAAGCTGGTCTACGTGACCACGGGCTATCTCCTTCAGGAGGGGTCCTGTGAAGGGGATTGGGAGGCACGAACCTGAAGCTGATCCAGTCCAGGGTATTCATAAGGGTATTCATGTACTTAATTTATCTTGATTTCTTTACTTTTGAATCTTTTGTTTATCAGGAAATTGGTTCTCCAGCAGGAGACTGGAGGTGGGTATGCCAACAGTTTATGACAGAAAAAGGATAGACACGGACAAGTTAATGCGTGATTGATGGCCTTCCCGGCATAATCAAATTCCATGTAACTTGCATGCTTTGAGGATGTTTTGGCATGTCAACCAGAGCAAACTACCCGAAGCTGCTGACAATGTTATTTTTTCTGTGCCAGGTGATTTCAATGATTGGAGTCTCAGAGCATGCAACCATTTTTTTCTAGATTTGAGGAAACATGGACACGCAGCACGCAGAGCCTTTCTAGAAGTGCTCACAACCTCTCAAGAAGTTGTGACAAGCTTCATTTGAGCTATGGCTATTAGAACTATTGGTAATACCTATGTCCTGCAGGAACCTGCGGAATTTTAGTAAGTTGCTATCATCACACGAGTGAAAGGTACTAACTTCAATGCTTTTGTTTGAAGAACACTCAGTGTGGCAGCACTTCTCTAGAAGTGATGGATACCGGACACCTTACTTTCAAGACACTCGTGAGATTGCTTGTAGCAAAAACTCACGCAAGACGACAAGTACTAGTACCAGGAGGCGCAGAGCTTGGGTCCTGGGCACCCGTCTCACATGGTCGGCTGCAATCTGGCAGGTCTTGGTGAACAATCCTGAACAGATCAGCGCCTACAGCCATCTCATCCTTGATGAGGCCTGGTTTTGCACCTTCTTCTGCTGCCAGTTTGGCTTTTGCAATTGGTTATATACTGGTATTCTTACACTAAGCGTTTGTCTCACACTCTCTAGAGTTTGTGCAAACTCAAGCACACCACGCAAAATGACATTGCGCATACATTACAACAAGGTGGCCATGACTGAATCGCAAATAGATGATCACCGTACTATACCATAAGGCAACACATGGACCATATGTCTTGAAGGTAGGTAGATGCCATGTAGCTGGGGCCAAGTGATCAAATGATGTTGGCAGCGACCTCACAGTAGAATAGTAGATGCAATGATTCTCAGGGGTAGGGTCTTGATAGAGTTATCTTAAGAAGATTCAATGCTCGGCGTACCTCTGATTCCCACTGGTTTGAAGCCAATATAGACATCAAGAGGGCAAACTGTCAAGGTGTCGGTTAACCGAATCGCCAGGGTGAACAGCCCTTTTGAGCCAGCGGCTTGACCATGACCAGAGCTATCCAGAGCTTCAATAACAGGTTCCATGAAGAACCTCCGGGCAATGTGCGATGGGTGTTGTGAACCAGCCACTTGGAATGTTCCCTAGAGAGCAATGCAATCCTCCAGTTCCAATCATTTCTCAATATATAAATTGCAGACCTTTGAGCAAGGGACAAATTATCGTGAGACTTATTACGGAAGAAGGGTTGTTGCCCTAGAGCAGAAGAGGGCCAACCCTGCTGCTGATACCCTGCCGTCAAACAACATAAGTGGTACATAAACATTCAAACTTGTCCAAGCATTAGAGATCCTTGGGGCCGGGCTAAGCAAATAGTTGCGTCCAAGTCGTTTGTTTGTGTGATAAGCAGCCTATAGCGAGTCCTCTTCGTTTCTCCCGTGCGCTGTTTGGGGCGGCTTCCGCATCGCTTGGAGGTCCACGAACGCGACGTGGATTCCGATCTCTTGTCTCTGGTGGTGCGAGGGCTCAGTTGAGATGCACTCCCGTGGCCCCTGGGTGCGAGGTGCGGGCCCGGTGCATTGTTGGACCTCTCCAGGATTGAAACCAAATTTTTAAAAGACGCTGAAAATCAAATATCTATATAAATATTTGAGATGCTGGAGGTTTAGGCGGTTCCTTCATCGAAAGGCTCTTGATCAATCTTAATTAGTTGAGAAACGTGGCGGGTCGGATCAGCTTCAAGCTTTCTAGCTGGATGTGCAGTGATACCATTGCTTTGTTGAATGCCTTGGACACTCGGCAAGAGCGATGGCCTCCAACCTAAGAGCAATGGCCTCCAACCTACTAGCGATGGCCTCCAACCTAATAGCGATTACTTATCAAAGGAACTGTTTTGGAATTGTATTGCATTGTGTTGGTTGCACATTGAATCTGCCAACGCAGGGACAGTAGAAAGTATCAGAAGCACCTAAGTTCATGAATTCTACTTGAAAAGTCGACTAAGTCGGTGGACTCCTGACCAGCCATTTGTTTTGTTCACAAAGGACTTTAGGACTTTGGTCCTGGTGATTTGTGTCGGATGATTCAGGACAGCCGACCCATATGACTTCTCTCACAGTGAACACCGAGTGTTCACTTCGCCCTGCTCGGCCGGCCGGACTTGGAGTGGAATCCCAGGGGTCCGACTCGAGGTGAAGCTGCAGATGGCTGGTTATGACTTCAAGCTGGTGATCATGTCAGCAACACTTCAGGCGACCGCAGGTAACTGAAAACGGAAGAAAGCCAAGCCTTATCCACCCGCTGGTCGTGGGTGGGGTGCAAAGGAAAAGAGGATGGTTCACGGACTGACTCTTGAACATGAAGCTGCTTAAGATCGACACCCGCAGACACTCCTAGCATGTTTGGGACACTGTATATGAGCAAATCAGGTCCTTTAAAAGAAGACCTCTACAGTAGTTGTTCAGCCAGTGCTTCTTCTGTCTCACTGAGCTAGCTCATGCTGGCTTCTTGTCGTTCAGGGGGATCTCTTCACGCGGTACTTCTCCGATAAGAAGATCAAGACAATCTTTGTTGGCGTCAAGAGGTGACCTGTTGGCGTCTGTGAGAGGCCTTCTTGTGCAGTGTGTGCATGAGTGTGTGCGTGGGGCTCGGGAATGGAGTTGCAGCGCTGAGAATGGTACTTGGCCCACAAACTTGGAACATGTCAAAACATGCGACTTGTGATGGTTTCAAAACATGTTTTGACCTGATATCTTCGCCAGGGGTGCAGGATCTCGCCATCGAGGTCTTAAGGCAGCAGATGGCAACAGGTCATAGGTTACCTTATCAATCCCAAGTGGAGACCCCTGTTCGACACTCTGTTCGACCTCCGATTCTGCATGGGATTTAACAGACAGGAAAACTGATACACTGGCCCCTTAAGCGAGTGCACCTGGCTTGTCTAAAAAGAAGATGACGGATGCTTTGGGTTCCCAAGCTGCCTGGCGTTGTTTTGATGCTGCGCTTGATCTTCCACACCTCGCAGAGCCTCGCAGAGCCTCGCAGAGCCTCGCAGAGCCCCGCTGCGCCTCGTTCGCTGTCGCTCCCATTTGTGGCTTGGGCTCGACGCAGGTCTCGACCGTGGCAGTGCAACGGGGAGCATATCATATGAACATTTCAAGCAAGCCTGCTCCATAAGCGAACTCCTAGAAGCTTTTGCTACTTTCGAGGACAAGCTTAGGTGGATTACTGAGACTGTAATCGAGGATGCCACATTGTTTCCCCTTTCCATATCAGCCAACAAATTCTGTCTAAGCAACTGTAGCAGCATTACTATAGTGACCAGGCCTCCGACTTCTTCTCCAAGTGATTGAAATTCCTTGATGTCCGGTAGGCCATGGCCAGGATTTCCGATGAAGACTCATGATCGGCTTCTAAAGCATTGTGGCAGTTTTGCCACACTGGCCTTTGTTCTGCTGTTGCTTTCTCGCCTGACCCACAAAGCCCGTGGGACCCGTGTGACCCGTACTTGGTCCAGCTACTTCTCAGCCTTCGAAGCTCTAGGGCTTTTGGTTTTCGGGGCCTCTGCCTGGCTCCAACGAGACCATCGCTGCATTTTGGGACGACCAGTTCGAGCACTGCCAGCCCCAGCGCACTCTGCGGGTGTGACAGCGCTCAGCGAGCTCGGACTCCGCGTAGGAAGCTCTCCGCCGAGCCCCTCGGGTCCCAGCCGCGTGGGCAGCGTGCGCTTCGATCCCTTGATTGCAGTGATGACGATTCCCTGTTGCACGGAGCTGGCAACTGAGAAGAGAGAACACCTCTGGTGGCAACCCGATGACTTTGTCAACTTCTTGAGGACACGGCTGGATATTGCAGAAGCCTACAAAGCTGCTGCACACAGCCTGGGGGTTGAGATGTTCAATGTTTGCAGTGTTGGTGATTATGCGAAAGCAGCTTACCAGGCGACCATTGAGACTTATCCTGGTCTGAAAGATGAGTCTCGGCGCGGTCTGGGCTTAGGCCGCCGGAACCAACGTGCCAGAAACAGAGATGCGTACCTGGCGGCGGTCGTCAATGAGCAGGGAAGGCAAAAGCAGTTGGGCCTACATGACCCTGAGGCTCTAGCATCCGTGGCGCGGGCAGTCTCCAGAAAGGACATTGGGGGGGAGCAATCTTGGGTGGGAACTGGTCAGAATTCGTTCATCCATCATAGAAAACATGATGCCGAATCACACAAAGCAGATCAGTGTGGCGAATGGGGACCCCAAAATCACTTCGCTGCACAAAACAATGAACACAATGAACACTCCCTGATCCAAAACATGAAATAAACGGACCAGTCAGTCTTTCCCTGAGGATCGAGAATATGCACACTTCCTTGCTCAGATGTACTATGAGCCGCTGAGATTGACTGTTTCAAGAGTTGATCAGAGGAATTCTGTCGATCCCGAGCGGGCAGATTTTTGGGGATTCCCAACAGGTCAGTGCTGTACGTGGTGATGTGGTGCGAAGGATGCACGAGGTGACTACTTACGGTTCGCGCTGTAAGAACCTGGTCTGGGTTTGTTTGGGTGTTTGAGTTTGAGCTTCTTTTTGTACGCAACCATATGCAATCCTCGATTTGAATTAGGATTCTGTGCTGGGGCATCACATTCGCGAACTTGTTGATTGAAGTGACAAGCCATTTAGCTGCCGTAAGGCACAAAGTCGCCCATAGTCACCAGGCCAACTGAGCATCAGTCCTCACCAAAGGGGAGCCGGTCAGTGGGTCGTGCGGCCACAAGCCATGAAAAACGAGTCAGGTTTGGTCTTAGTATGTTGTTGTGTTGAAGACTGTTGAAGATGTTGAAGGACCTTGAAAGATCTAGGAGATCTATGCATTTCTATGCTTTTCTAGGAGATCTAAGCAAGACTTGCTTTCAACCTTTTGAGCGGTCATGGGCTCCGCCTCAGGCAAGATCATGCTGATGAGTATCCTGAGAATGGGGAGGTGCAGACCCCTTCGGACCAAGACAATTCTGACGGCTCTCCGAGAAGGCCTTGAGCTCAGGACGTGCGACAGTTTCGGCGCTGGAGGATGCTTAGCCCGATTCGGGGCAGTCAATGGACAAGCTTCACACCTACCCAGTATTGTTTGACTTCGTTCTTGTCCAACGAACAAGTTTTGCCTTGAACAACTCATTTGCTTTGCTTTGCTTAGACAGTACCTCCAAGTCAGTAGCCAGAAGCGGCAGGACGGTCATGTCCAAAGACCCAGGAGATCCGTTTCCACCGAGTCCGAAGTATCATGAAGTATCTACATAGACGGAAACTCGCGGTTTCTGCTTCTCAGCCTTAAGCTGAGGTCCATTTTTCAATTTATGCCTACACTGATGATGCCCGCGGTATATTCAATTTGTTTAGCGTTTCTATACTCCAAAAGGTAAAACAAACACTCCTTCAACGGCAGGTTACAATCCCACAAGGTTATACTCCCACATTTAATGTCTTGGTTGGAATTTGGAAGATACCTCGGCAAGCACGGTGCACGACACTTCAGGTTTTGTTGATTCCCAAACATCTCCAGACCTTTCTCCGCCGAGGTCTTCGTCCCTTCGACAGATCTTCTGGGAAGAGGTGAGAGTCTCACTCATCGATTTGCGGGGTGCCGAGACACATGGCAGGGAGCCTTCCTTCTTGCACAATGGATAAACTGAGAGAACTCAGTTTCCATGCTCCTAGTTCCCAACCAGCATACAGATACAGGGTCTACAAGCGTTAAGAGAAACAGCTTGCTGAAAAAACACATGCTCAATCAGGTTCAATTGATTGGTATTCCCACAGTTGCTGACAGGCTGACAGGATCTGACACCAACCTTTGGTTCTTCAGGTATCTACTGGTAGTATCTGGCAGTATAATCTAGGCATCTATAGTATACTAAGTATACTAGGAGCAAGGACGCGACTAGGGGCTCCTGGCCTTACTACTAAGAGCATGGACGCTACTCCCCAATACCTTCACCTTCAGCCGCCTGAAGGGCCATCCACCGACTCCACTTCAGATTGATCGCACCATGACGTGAGGCGGAGGAGAGCAGCTCCTCCCGTTGCTGTCCAAGCTCCAAGGGCTTCGGCCTCACCCGCGAGAAGCTCCGCGAGGCGGCTGGGTGTCCGGTCCGGAAGGCTTAGATGGCCGCGAGGCCGCGTGCATCGGTGGGGGTTACTCCATGTTACTCCGTGTTAAGTTACTACTAGCAAGGCACCTGTTACTAGTAGCGTGGGATTGATAATTTACATACTACATTGCATGTCGATCATTTGGCCCCAACTTTGACAGCGTATTCAACTCTTATTCGTTCCTATCCAGATCGTTCTGACATGCACAGTCATTTAGTGCTTTCCAGCACACTGGTACATTCTGCAACTGGCCAGCAACATCTCCCCAGTGATACCATTTGTTCCGCTAGATGTTTAATGATGTTTACTCGGCACATACCACTGGGTTTTGTCAGATCTCTGGAGCCTCACACGGTGCACTGCTGCACCGCATCCCATCGCTGCGCGCCCTTCACACCACTGAGTTCCTCATCATGAGACTCTTCTGATGCATTGCATGTAGCACCGCACATCACCGGAGCACAACTTACAACCTCATAAGTATATATACTCATAAGTCCTTTTGTGTGAGCCAAGACCTACCAGAGTTTTTTTTGGCATGATTTTGTTGAAAGTCCAACTATCAAAAGTTGGCGATATGACGGAGCTCATGTGTTAGTTACAAAATCTGCTGACAGGAAATTCCGTAATGACGTGTCCCGACGGCTCGACACAGGTGGGCCTCAGTGCTACAGGCGTGGATTTCGTTGTATACTTGTTTGGTACACACCCAGCGGCCCAACCATGGATTTGGTGCGATTTGGTGAACATCACGACTTGGGATTTAAGATACGATTTGTATAAACATTTATATATGTTTTGGATTCTGGGTGAATACTGCCTAGGTGTCACTTACAGGTTAACTTGAGCGTGGGCGGCTATTTCTCTCGACCTTGCGAGCATCGACACGGGCAAACAGCAACCACTGAACATCAGTCAACTGGTTGTCCCGTCAATGGGCAAAAGTATGGTGTGCTGCTGAAAAGTTAGGTTGAACAAGAACACAGTGAAGTTTGGATATTCGATTGCGATGCAATGATAGAATCCAATCGATGGCTTAAAGAACGACTAATATGATCTAATATGTTAAGCTAGAGGTCAAGAGGTGAAGAATGCCAGGCAACAAAGCAAATCAACCACAACAGCAAAAAGTAAGCAATCGTGAACACTGTATCATTTGTTGCCCTTGCATACCACTCGCTGTTCTGGCTTTAGCAGCTGCAAGCCCTCTTCCGCCCGCATGCTCCACAAAAAGTGTTATGAAAGAAGACAACTTTGGAAACGGCATCGTTGTGATTCGTGTGGTTGGCTTGGATGGTGAAGGATTTACTTTGAGACTGGCCCTGACTTTAGAACTTTCATATGCTTTCATGAGGTGTTTACTTCTTCTCGCATGCGTTCTTGATCGATGTGTCACCCGGATTGAATCTCCAACCCCAGGCAGATGTCTATCACCTCAAGATTTTTAGCTCATTGTAATTCAAAGGGTGTAGTCAGCAAGCAATCGCTTTCTGTGCTGGTGATGGCAGATATATTAAGTTTGCAAAGCGCCTCTCCCTTTGTGGAATCCAAGTACCGAGGAGGCTTCCTGAATCCAAAAGTGGGTACGATGTTTGGAAGATGGCCAAAGATCGACTGCCATGCAAATCTGGCGCTGCTGTATCAATATACAACGGATCAGAGTGCCTTGGGCGAGCAAGCACGCAGTACTGACCTTGCAAAAAAAGGATCCAGGACCCAGGACCATGTGTTCGGAACTATGCAGAGTCCTTGAGGTGATGATTAGTCTAACCGAAGGAGGGCGGACACCCCAAAGACTGAGTAGCAGTTCCAGAGTTCCGAACGGGAGACACCCTCTGGATCTCCGAGGTCCTAAGCTCCATCTCTATTGAATAGAGGGTAGTTGTGCCATGTTGTGCCTGGGTTTTCCTTTGGTGCCCATTCTTCCGCGCTGCAAAGCGGTGGCTGCGTCGTCCAAGTTCTTTCCGCACGTGCCAGGAAGCTCGCGATGAGCAGGACTTTGAGAGAACAGGGGCTTGGACAGGATTCCACATTATCCTAGACATTCATTCGTACAAACATTGCAAGGGCCATGCGCTTTCTCAGAGGTGAATCAACCGAAGATGACGAGCTGGTACTGGAAGGCATCACAGATTTGAAGCTTGGATGTTGTCAGCAGATGCTGGCGAACTTGCCAGGAACCCTCCAAAGCCTGGCCTTTGCTGAGGGCTTCAACCAAAGCTTGGAGCATGTCAAGTTCCCGAAGAACCTCCAGCACCTGGCTTTTGGCAAAATGTTCAGCAAGAGCTTGGACCAGACAGGGTTCCCAGAGAATCTCCAGAGCTTGGTTTTGAGCGCAGATTTTAATCGGAGCCTGGATCTGGTCAGTTTGCCAAACAATCTTCAGAGCCTGACTTTTGGGTATTTCTTCAACCAGAGCTTGCGGCGTGTGAGATTGCCAAATAGACTTCGGACCCTGACGTTTGGCGATCAATACAACCAGAGCTTGGCAAGAGTGAAGATGCCAAACAGTCTCCAAAGCATAACCTTTGGCATGGCTTTTGACCAGAGAATGCAGCACGTAGTTTTGCCAGACACTCTACACACCTTGATTTTTGGCGCTCGATTCGATCAGCCCCTCGAGCACATGCACTTGCCGAGCAGTCTCAAATCCCTTGCCTTTGGTCTGTGCTTTGACCAGAGTCTGGAAGGGGTCAATTTGCCCCAAAGTCTCGAGACCCTGACTTTCGGCTCTCTCTTTAACAAGAGCTTGGAAGGTGTCACATTGCCGAACAGCCTCCAGAGTTTGACCTTTGGCGAAGAGTATAACCAGAGCTTGAGACGAGTCAAGTGGCCAAATAGTTTGCAGAGCTTGAGGCTGGGCGAGAATCAACCACTTGAGGGCCTTTTGCGAGTGAAGTTTCCAAGCAGTGTTCGAAGCATGACGTTTCACCGCAGTTTGTTTCGAGTCAAGCTACCATGCAGCCTTCAGGTCCTGTCTCTTGGGGACAAGCTTAACACCAGCTTGGAAGGAGTCCACTTGCCGGGTAGTTTGCAAAGCCTTACGTTTGGTATGAACTTCGACTGCAGCTTGGAACGGGTTCAGCTACCAGGTGGTCTGAAAAGCCTTGTCTTCGGTTCCAAGTTCAATCAGAGCTTGAACTACGCCAGCTTGCCAAGGAGCCTGCAAAACCTCACGTTTGGTTGTGGTTTTGACCAGAGCTTGGACCAGGTTTCATTGCCGGATGGTTTGCAAAACCTGCGATTTGGTACGAACTTCAACAAGAGCTTGGACCAGATTGAGTTGCCCAAAAACTTGCGAAGCCTGACGTTTGGTCACAACTTCAACCAGAGCTTAGACCAAGTCAGCTTTCCAGGTAGCCTGCGGAGCCTGAGGTTTGGTACAAAGTTCAACAAATGCTTGAACTGCGTAGAGCTGCCCAACGGTTTGCAGAGCCTGACTTTTGGTGAAAACTTTAATCAGAGCTTGGACCAGGTCAATTTGCCCAACAGTTTGGAAAGTCTCAGTTTCGGAATGTTCTTCAACCAGAGCTTGGCGCAGGTGAATTTGCCAGATGCGCTCCGAAGTCTTACGTTTGGCCAGCTATATGATCATAACTTGGAGGTGGTCAATTTGCCCAACCTCCTAGACCTGACTCTTGGACAGTCCAGCATCTCAATCGACGCTTCAATCGGCGCTCTTCGATCGTCGGTTGACCAAAGAGATGGAGCTGGAGTGAATGAAACGATTGGCCGACATGAGTGCCGACATGATATTGGAGGGTTGGATATGTTGAAGCGGCATAGCCGATGGTTGCAGTTTGCTCAGTTTACCGCCTAGTAGATGACAATAAAGCACGAGTTTTGCCAAGGGGATTCATTCCTCAAACCTTCCTATGCCTTCAAAGCATTTCAAGAATATCCATTGAACTTTGAACATTTGCCTTTGCAGTGGATCCCAGCTGACATGCAACACAGAGGACTGATGTGTGCTAGATTATAGATATATTTTATATAATTACACACGACTGTATATGGTTTTTAAATCAGGACATGGTTGAACCTGCAGTCAATATTGAACGTGAGGCTCAGAAACGATCTGAGGCGGCTACAGTGACTACGCCTTTAGCCTTCTAATTCTATTGTTTACTGTGCATTTTACATAGTAGGTCACATTGACCATCTTGGTCTCAGACTCTTAAGTCGTCGTCGTAGTTGATCGCTCCGGACCTCTGTTCCAAGCGATGTATGCAGGCCACGTGCTCTCGAAGACTCAGCGTTGCCAATCCTTTCAACCGCTCAACGAGGAGAGTGGTAGTGACTTCGAGTGAGGCCTGTGGGACGGATCAGCTTCGAAGGTCGGGGACTGGGTGGAGCGTTCTGGAGCTAAAGAGATGCATCAAAGAGTGTGGGGGAATCCGTTTTGGAGCTGAGGGGAATCCCAACTCCCTGATCCGTTTTGGGAATTCATGGGAAGTCAAGAGGCCTAGACTGAGCAAGACGGTTCTAGCCCACTTTCGCCGTGAGCCTAGGATGCCGGAGGTGCTGTTGAACTGTTTGAGAAACCACTTATAATGCAGTATGCTTGCAGTGGAAGCGTTGCACTAACAAATTGTTCGGCTCGTGAGGGATGGTGAGGGGACCTCGCTTCTGTTAAACCATGAAGGCGGCTGGGATGGAGAGGGTATTTCGACGCACTTGGCGTTTTCTTCACCTGTGGCGTAGTTCACCCACCGCTTGGTGTTTCCGAAAGTAAGCGATCCCTGAAGCCACCTTTACCAATGTTTTCTTTCAGCGGTATTTTCAGGGCAGGCTGCTGATGGAAGCTGCTCATTAACATTCATGGAGCTTCCAACCTTCCAAACTGTGAACTTTGGTTCTTGGACATATTTTTTGTTTGACGCTGATCCTTAACAGGTACTAAGTCAACAGACTGACCCTGCATTGATATCGCTGTTCTCTTTCTTGAGGTTCCACTGTTTGGTGTGCTTAGTGGGATAAGACAATAACTATCACAGGAGCAACAGCGCAATGTGTATCATCGCCGCTCCCCGATTCTGCATGGGACAATCTCTATATGGTAGTCGATCGAAAGGTCGACACAAGGCCTATGTCACTGAGAGCCTTTTCAAGTTGTTCGCGAAAGTGTTTTCTTGAGTTAGCGAAAGTAGATTATTCACAGCGCTTCGCGCTCGAAGCCGCCCGCACGGAGTGTGCGCGTCTGTCTGTCTGTCTGTCTGGCTGGCTGGCTGGCTGTCTGGCTTGCTGGCTGGCTGGCTGGCTGTCTGTCTGTCTGGCTGGCTGGCTGGCTGTCTGGCTTGCTGGCTGGCTGGCTGGCTGGCTGGCTGTCTGTCTGTCTGTCTGTCTGTCTGTCTGTCGCGGTCGGGCAGGACACACGGACGAACATACCCACGATGTCAATAATGCAGTCTCCCCCGGGCTGCGTATCCGGCATCGCGATCGTCTACCTCACTTGCTGGAGAAGTTGTGCGTTGTTACACGTTGGTTGCATAGCAAAGCATTGAGCATTGCTTGACTTTGTCAGAGGCAAACGGAAGGGTAGTGCACAGAGAGGGTTTTGCAAAAACCTATTCTGCGGAAGGCGCGGGACATTCGTAGAGCCCAAGGCTATTCGTGGACAGTTCGTGGAATGGTGGGCCAGTAGGAGAACTGACTGCAACGAAGTCCCAGAAACCTTCGCAGAACTTCGTGGAAGGTATTTTTGATGCACTAACTTCGTATAAGCGATTTTTGCTGACCCCCTTTCTCCACACACCTTCCATTTAGCCTTCACTTTGGCTGGCTACCAAGTACATGGTAGCGGAGCCTCGACCTGGGCGATCCAGGGAGGGGCTCCGCTACTCCGCTAAGTTAAGCTTACGGTTCCGTCCTGGTCTGGCGACCCAAGTGAGTTTGAGTTCTTTGTGACTGCCTGTCGTTGGTACGAGCATGGACTGAAGGACAACGAACGTCGTCAGGCACCGGCTAGGATCTGGAGCAAGCTTAGCGGTGCAGCAAAAGCTGTGGTACGGCATTTGAAGCCGGAGGACTTTTCAGGTGGGTTGGACAAGTTGCTTGACGTTCTAAGGACCTCACCACTCCAGCAACTTCCAGTTCGATTAGGAGAGCCCTTCGAACCTTGTTCGCCGAGGACGACCATCAGCCACAGCGTTTGCATGGGCATCGGAAAGGTTTCCGATCTGCCTTGTGGAATGATGCATATGAGCCCAATGAACCGGAAGATCAATGTGAGGATTCACAGTGGGACGATTGGACGTCCTACGATGAGTCCGCCTATTGGCAATGGTGGCAAGATGAAGATGAGCAACATTGGGATGACAGCTACAGTTACAGTCGAGACGATTGGACTGACCCTCAACAAGAGGAGTTGTTGCCCCTTGAGAATGCCACTGACCCTTCGGAGGCCAATAGAACCTTCCAGGAGGCTCGGGACGCAGTCAAACGCGTCCGCCAGGTCAGATACTTCTCGGCAGAGTCCAACACTGGAAAAGGGATGAGTTTGTCATCACCGAGCCGCCAATTTGGTTCGGGAAAAGGTTTCAGCAGTGGTCCCAAAGGGAAAGGAAAGAGCTTTGGCCCTTGTTTTATTTGCGGCCGACGCGGCCACGGCTACCAGCAATGCCCTTTCACCCGGCCAACGAGGTGGAAAAGGGAAGCGTAGTTCGGGTTTCAAAGGGAAAGGGAAAGGGAAGTCAAAGAAGGGAGTCAATTTTTCAGATATTTGCACCCTCACCATCCTCTGGAATGAAGACGCATTGCACCCACACCATCCTCTGGAATGAAGACGCAAAAGCTTTACCCGGTCGTTGTGGACACCGGAGCGTCAGAGTCAGCGGTCGGAGTTCAAGAACCTTCCCGTCTGCAAGGGGTGGCGAGTCAAGACAACCTCCAGAGCACTTTGGATGAGCCTCCAAAAGAGATGCCCCGGCCATCCAGAACACCTTGAACGCGGAGAGTGCAGGGGACCAGCAGCTCAGGCCTCCGCCTATTACCCACCAGGCATGGTGCGGGCAGCAACAAAAGCCATACAGCAACAATGGAACAGCAGAAGCAGCAGCGCAAACATCCATGGCACGGGATGTCGGATGTCGAGCAGCACTTCCTCGAACAACATGAACACACAGCAGCAGCAAGCATGTCGGCAGCAGCAGAGCCGCAAGCAACAGACCCAGCATTTCAGTGTCTACGACAACAGGAGCCAGAGATCTTTGCTCTCACCCGCAATCGTTTCCCAGTACAACCACCAACTGGCAAACGACTGGAGCTCATCAAACAGCAGATGCTCCGAACACACAGAGCAGCAGGACATAGCTCCTTCAGCAACTTGCAGCGGGTTCTCACCCTTCAGATGGACTCGGGGCGGTGACCTCGACTTCTAACTTCTTCCTGGCATTGACGCCAAGAAGGCCTTCGGTGAGCTGTTAAAGCTCAAAGAAAAGGCCAAGGTGGCCTACACGATGGAAAGCGCTAAGGAACGCCTCAGCAAACTCAACAACGCCGCAGGAAGAACAGGCCAGGCCGTGTTGTGGAGCATGGGCCACTCCGCCTTCTGCTCCAAGAAGGCCAAACGCTCTGGTTGCCAGAGTCCAGCGATGATGAATCATCAAGTAGCAGCTCAAGTTCATCCTCAGAAGAACTCCGGCCAGATGTACAGCCATCCAAGAAGCCAAGGAAGGAATCGCCTGAAGAGGAATCCTTCTATCCCTTAAAGATTCCGCTGGAGAAAGAGGATGCCACGCTTTTGGCAAACCACCCAAGAAAGGCAGAAATCTGGCTGTCCAAGAAGATGGAAGCTAAGGGCCGTGAGCTTCACTGGTCTACTCAGAAGCCTCACTCGCGATGAGCACCTCAACTTAGACCGCAAGAATCAGGTCACGCAGATGCGGTGGGTCCTCACTCTGAAGGGGAGTGGAAGTGAAAAGGCACGCTTGGTCGTGCTGGGATACCAGGCACATAACTTGTGCCAAGTCCAAGCAGCGGCACCGACGATGAGCCGACACAGCCGCAATGTTTTGCTTGCGCTTGCCGCCAACGGCAAGCTAGCCCAGCCGAACTG